GGCATCGGTCCAACGGCGGTCAACGTATCATCAGCCCCTCTAGATAAATCGGCAGACAAGTTCTGGGTCTCCCTATCAAAATATCACCCGATGTTTCACAGTCAGACACCGAGAAACTCACCAAGGAATCTTCGAATGTGGATGAAGTTGTTGTGAAATCGCTGATACCAAGAGGTCGGCCATTGTCAACACTGTCTTTCGTATTATAGAAGGTTGGAATCAGCCTCGAATATGGATCCTTTATCTTGGCCACAAGGAATCGAATTACGGGAGTTTATTGAGGATGATACAAGGACCCAGCATTTTTGGAAGCCGGTGCTGAACGCAGATCCGGGTCCGTCGAACAGTAATTAGCGCCAGCCGTAACAATTACCTCTTATACTACTCTCGTCAACACTCGTGCTCATTTGGCCGTGTACTGTCAAAACGTCCGTGGTTTGAGGACTAAAACAAATGCTGTGTGGTTTTCACAGAAACGTGGCTTCATACTGACATCGCGAATGCTGAACTGTCACACTTTCTACCGCTGTGACCGGAATTACCGCACAGGTGTACTACGACGTGGTGGTCGTGTCTTAAATGTCGTGAAATCCGTGCTGAATTGTAAAGCCGTGCATCCGGTCAACTCGACATTTATACCAAGCACGCCGAATTCGTACCACAGTTCCTTGAAATGCTGCAGCATGCTCATGATACGAATATAGTTATAGGTGATTACAACCTGCCGAATCTAGCTTGAGACTTTGATGAGGATGTCCAAGGATTCTTACCTCTCAATGCTTCATCTGAACAGGAATTTGCTGTAGTCGAGACCTTACTATCTGCAAGACTTAAGCTAATCAGCGATCTGGTCAACGCGAATGGTAAACTTCTATTCCTGGGGCTCGTCAGTGATTCAGATCCTAATGAGCTGTTTGAACCACCATCTGCCATTCAGAAAGTTGATCGCCTTCGTAAGCCGTTAGTTTTGAAAGTTGACATCCGTTCGAGCGAACATCCTTCATCGTATCCAGTAGCACGCTATGAGTACAATTTCGCACGGTTTGATTTCAATGCTATTAATGTGAGCATCTCAGCGTTGGATTGGGTGCAATTACTTAACTTACCTACCATTGATGCCGCCGTGTCCGAATTCTATGACAATATTTATCAAGTAATCGATAATACTGTTCCAATAGTGGCTCGTAGACCTTCTATGCATCGCCCACAGCCGTGGTGGAATCCGCAATTGCGTAATCTTCGTAACCGTCTGCGTAAGGCCCGTAAACGTTACTTTCGCTCCAGGACTGCTGAACACAAGTATGGTGCGCAGCTTGCAGAAGCCGAGTACAAGAGTTTGCTCGTGAGTGTATCGATAATCTCCAGAGTGGCTTCAAAGAATACTCATCGTCGTTCTGGTCTTTCGTAAACTCTCGCAAAAAAATCAGCTGGTGTTCCGGCAGACTGTAATCGATGCCACTTCTGCAAACCTCTTCGCTGATTTCTTCCGAAGCGTTTTTGAACTCGATCAAACTCCTCCGCAGCAGTAGTACAACATTCGTCTGCAGCAGCATAACTTCAGCCATGACGCTGTTTTCAAAGGCCTTTGCTCGGTTGATGTATCGAAAGGCCCACGTCCGGATTATATAATCAGCATCGTTGGCAACACCCGTTATGTCTATCTTTAACCGATCACTCCTTACCTTACCTAACCAATCAGGCTAAGGCCTTTTTGTCCTCTGCTGTCCGAAGAAGTCGTCTCCACTCTACTTGATCCATGACCACACTTCACCAGCCTCGTAGTCTGCGGAGGGTCCGCAGGTAGCTTGGTCGATTCACCTTGCCCACTGCGCGCCTCTTCTTCTTGCTCCTGTTGGGTCGTTTTCGAGAACAATTTTCACTGGGTCGTCGTGCGGCATTCGTACGACGTGCCCAACCCACCATAGTTGCCAAATTTTTGCAATGTGGACGATGGATGGTCCTCCCAGCAGCTGCTACAATTCATCGTTAATTCGCCTCCTCCACGTTCCGTCATCTATCTGCACTCCACCGTAGATGGTACGCAACACCTTCCGTTCGAAAACACCAAGGGCATATTGGTCCTCCAGTAGCATAGTCCAGGTCTCGTGGCCGTAGAGGACCACCGGTCTAATCAGCGTCTTGTAGCCAGTCAACCTCGTGCGGCGGCGAATTTTATTCGACCGGAGCGTCCTCCGGAGTCCAAGCCACGATTCCCTGCCATAATGCGTCTTTGAATTTCTCTGTTGGTATCATTTTCGGCGGTCACCAGTGACCTTAAATACACGAACTCATCGACCACCTCGATTTCGTCACCGTCAATCTAAACTCGGGGTGGGAGGCTAACATTGTCTTCTGTAAAAACCTCTTCCTCTCATGTATTTTGTCTTCGATGCGTTGATGGCAAGTCCAATCCGCCTTGTTTCAGCCGTTTCCGCCATCGTGTCAAAGTTCCGTGCCATGATGTAGATGTCATCGGCGAAGCCAAGAAGCTGGATGGACTTCCTGAAGATCGTGCCACTCGTGTCTAAACCAGCTCTTCTGATCACACCTTCTAACGCGATGTTGAATAGCAGACACGAAGGTCCATCATCTTGCCGTAACCCCCTTTGAGATTCAGGCAACTTCCTTGCTTGCATTCCTGTGTCACAACGCTGTGCAATTCGATGATGTGAACGCTTTGAAAACATTGTACTGCTCCTTGGTTCGTAGTGTTGTTGAATATGGAGTACAAATCTGGGGTCCATATCTTGTCCAGATTCGCCTTACGATAGCTTCCATGGACCAATGCCAATAACCTATCACCATTCGAACACAGATGTGCGCTTATTGGACTGCAAACACTATCGACTCGCCGAATCTTCCTGCAGAGACTATTTATTATTGACATGATTAGTAATCATATTGACTGCAGTAGTGTGCTCCGGGATATCGACTTCCACGCATCAGTCCGTCGTCTCCGCAATACATACCTCTTGTAAACTCCTGGACACCGTACTGGCTTTAACAATCCACTCGACAAATGTTGCAGACTGTTCAATGATGTTTGTGATGCTTTTATTTTAATATTAGTAAACTATTTTTTAAGAATAGAATTAAGTCCAACGATGGCGATTATAAATAAATAATCAAAGCGATATTATCCGCCGATGGAACACCGCTGGATGTAAGCTGTGAAGCTGGATTTAATTTTATAGCAATTTGAGATCTCACGATGAAAAATAGAGGCGAAAAAAATCGCGTCAAAACAGAAACGGTAGACCCAATCCCATTCCTCTCAATCGCAAACATTCCGCAGCTTTCCGAACAGATCCGAATGTCCCGAACCAGCGAGACCCCATTCAGCAATAGCGCGCTCTCGATGATGCGCTAGCTCTCCGGGAGAGAGGAAAACCACCCGAACGGCTCTCCCAATTTTACCCAAAACGCTCGCGTGGTGGCTGTTGTTGCATTTTGTCTTATTCTCCTTCCCTAACGTGTTCGCTCTCTCATCTTTCTCTCTTCTCACCGCACCACACTAATCAATAATTACAGTACGTTTAATCAATAATTATTTAATAATTAATAATAATAATTTAAATATACTTTTTTTTTATTATATATCACAGTCGTGCTGCTGTTGATAAATTTTTTACTTGACTTTCAATATTTTCCTCCTTTGCTAATTTTGCTCCTTCAACTTCGATTTTTTTTTTTGTTCTTTGCTTTCAGTTTGCTGCACTATCCTGCATGGGTCCTTCGGATGTTTGATCCACTTGTGTGTCCTAAAATTTATCGCTATCGCTTCCTGCTATCCGCTTTTCAATTAATAACGCTACTACACAAACTCGAAAGAAGCTACCAAATACAGGATTGTTCTCCCTCCTCGCTCGTCCGTTACTCTTGCTCTCTTTCTTTCGTGTTCGCCTCTGTATTGGTACAGGATTCTTCTCTGTTTTTTTTTTTCTTAAATGATTTTCTGACTTAGATTTCCAGTAAGAGATTCGGAACTTTTTCTTTTTTTTTTTTAATTTCTTACCATTTGAGCGAAGATTTCTCTATTTCAATCACTCTCGCGTCGATTACTCCCGCTCGCACCTCGGCGCGTGCGAGTGAGTTTTTGTCTCTTGCTCTCTGATTTATTAATTTAGAAATTTCACTTTACTCGCTTGCATCCTTTCGGCCGAACCTGCCGCTTCCGATTTCGAGTTCGCTCGCCACTCGGGCCGGAATTCGAAGCCGGATGCCGTTCTTGAAAAGGTTGCAATTCAATAATAATCGCTTCAACTAAAACAGAATGAGAACGATAAAGATTTATGTAACCTCTTAATACGACGATCGCATGCGACTTAGTTTTTTTTTGGTTTAATTTTTTTTTCAATCTTCGTTTTTATCAAATAATAACTGAAAAAGTTTACTTTTGTTCAATTTCTTAAACATCTTAAATTTAGTTTTTTTTCATGCTTTTTCTGTCATATTTTTTTTTCGCTAGAGAAAAGATTTTGGTTTCTTCGTTTTGTTCTGCTAGAAATTTACTTCTTTGAAATTGGAAGTTTTAGCTACGTTTTGCCTTTGTTTGACAGTTTTGCGCGGGCGTCGGTATCGTCTGTGGTCGGCGTTGACGGTAGACTCTGTGTTTTTTTTTCATGTGATGTTCTTTTAAGGGCTATGCCTTGCTCTAATGTACAGTGCGTTAGATGTGTTGGAATGTTTTTGGCTTTCATATGCAAACACTATTAGACGGGCACAATTGCGACATCTGCTGCTCAATGGTCAGCACAAAAAAGAGTTTATCGTATTTGCTAATTTGTATATGTCTAAGTGTGGTTACTTACCCGTCCATTCAGAATAAATCATGATGTAAATTTCTCATACAACTGAGTAGAAGTGATTCTCTCCCTCTCTGAGTTACTCTCATTGATCGAGTATATGTCCCTAGAACTATGGACGAGTTACCAATCTTTTTAATAAGTTGTCTTGTATTGAGTGAGAGAGAAGTATTAGTAGTTTCCATTTAATTCCTCATCCTTGACAGATACGCGTATTTCGTCTACAATGTACAGACTGTTTCTGTGTCTTGTACTAATACTTGAAGTTGTCTTGGCATAAATTCTAATACAGCCCACTGATTTTCAATCAGTCACAACTGTCAGGGTATTTCAAGAGGAAATTTTTGTAATTCTTGGGAATATTCTCAGATTTTTTAGAGTACTCCTGTTCATCCTGGATTGCTCTCATAATTCCATTAAAACAATGTAAAGAACATCAGATCAGAGTTGTTGTTGTGTTGTTCTTCAAAGTAACTGCTCCCGAAATTTCTGGTGCAACACATCCAACAAGATAATCCATGAAACAAATTGTGACCATTCTAATTCTCGGTGACACGTTTTTGGAATAGACATCTGAGTTAATTAAAATTTTCAGAATTTTGTTTAGTTATTTGAACCTTGTGAAACAATTTTCACTTATCAACCCTCAAATAATCCAAGACATCCAACGCAAACTGCAATCCGCATCCAGCTGCATCCTCTGACGTCTCCGATGGTTCGTTTCCTGTGTCTCTGTTAGTACAGAGTTGGGCTGCATACTGCTTGCGTCTTATTGCTTTTGACGATCCTGACTCTAGACTGCTAGCAAAATTTCTACGTCCCGAAAAAAATATATAACCGCCCCAAACAAACTCGACGATTTTCCGTTTGCGCTTAAATTAATACTCACTAGCGATGGGAACTTATCAGCAGCTATATTGGTTTTTCGCGATTTTTTAAACTCCATAAACGAAAGAATGATCTGAAGTGTATTCTGATTTTCTAACTCCCTATGGATGGGAGATTTTCGGTGGAAATGACTCGATCGAATAAATGGAATGCTAGACGCAATAATTGTCAAAAAACTTTGCCTTTTCCTTGTTTCGTTTTTTTTTTTACTTTCGGTTGTTGTGCTTGTTTGTTTTGTTTTACCGATTTTCTTCACTTTTCTAGCGTTTTTTTTCTTATTTTTTTATTTTTTTTCTGTATTTTCGTTCTAACGCAGCACCATTTCGCTGTTCCGCTTTTGTTTGCTTCAATGTTTCCTTAATAATCTTTCCTCCATTTTTTTTTGCGTTTCCTCCAATTTTCTCTGATTACACACTACCCCTTTTGTTTTGCTTAATGTTGTTCACTTGTTGGTTTGAAATTTATTTAAAAAGTCTCGACAATAATTTAATGAATAACAAATTGATTTTATGATAAAACCAATAACAATAACCTTTTCCATGTGGCTACGAAACGATGATGTGTGGTGCCGAAAATAGAACAGCTACGGTTGCCACTATTGTGAAAAATGTGAAAATTATAAGGCACAATCTATCAACTACCATTGCTGCGAATTTCCATTCCTTGGCGACGTCGCTGTCCTCGTCCTCTTTTCGTATCTAAAAATAGAGAATAGAGTGGATGAGAACTACCGGAATAGGTGCAATCGGAAATAGAATTAGTTCAAGTTTGTCGGCTGGCAATGCAAACTTGAGTCACAACTCGAAAACAGCGCCAACACCGCCGGTTCAGAACAAAACCTATTGTTCTGCCTTCTTTGCTCGTAGGCTTGCCGAAGACGACGACGACGATGGTGACGAGGTAAGGCGCAGGAGACTTTGAAGAATGGGTTCTGAAAACAGAGAAGACCGTTTGTTGGAGTGCAGAAGAGGCACAGCCCACGATGGAAAATGACAGGTGGGCAGGAACTCACAGTCTCCCAGTGTTGGTGAGTTCTTTGCCGTTAATGTTCACGAAAAGTTCACTATTTTGCTATACAGAAATTCAAAACAAAAATTTTATCTGCGGATTTGAACAGTTTTTGACCTGTTTCATACTACCGGAAGGTGTATGCTGGTCACAAATGCCGTGCCAAACTGATTTCCTACTCAATTAATCAATCTTTGATGTGAAATTCGCCAATAAACACGAGGCGCATTTCGTATAGCAAACATGCCATAACAAAATGGGCATGGTTCATTTAAGTAAACAAACTAACACTTCTTCCGACTGTTACACCTATGTATTAGCCGTCTCGGGCACAGCCATACTCAATTTAATTGCCCACGGGTAGTACACGTGTAATTGTGCACAGGAGGAGGCAGTTATTCTATGATGTCGTGTGATGTGTGTATGTTCAAGTTATGAAAGCAAATCAGAGGACTTAAATCGTTCGATACTGGGAGCTAGGATAGGGTAGGTGTATCATTTATGGCTATAGAGTAGTTCCAGCCAAATAACAAAAACTATTTTTTGACACGATCTTCTCCTATTTGCATTAAGCTTTGCATATTTGATTGTTACTTTTTGTACTTAATTTCAGCCATTTTAATTTTAGGTATTAACGGACAACTTGTCTACTTGGGCTTTGAAGCTGGGTATCGAATTCTCTCAGGAGAAAACTGAGTTGGTTGTTTTTTCTAGGAAGCACCATCCTGCACAGTTACAGCTTCAGCTAATGGGTAAAACAATCACTCAAAGTATTTTTTTTTAGTATTTAGGTGTTCGATTCCAAATGCACATGGGGAAAACATATTGCGTATCTGAAACAAAAATGCCAGCAAAGAATTAATTTTCTTCGTACAATTACTGGAACTTGGTGGGGAGCACACCCGGAAGATCTGATCAGGTTTTATCGAACAACCATCTTGTCGGTCCTAGAGTACGGTAGCTTCTGTTTTCAATCCGCGGCAAAAACACACATCCTGAAGCTACAACGGGTTCAATACCGTTGCCTCCGAATCGCGCTTGGCTGTATGCACTCGACACATACGATGAGCCTCGAAGTACTCGCGGGTGTTCTCCCACTGACAGATCGTTTCGCGGAACTGTCCTTCCGGTTTCTTATCCGTTGTGAAGTAATGAACCCATTGGTAATAGAAAATTTTGAGAAGCTGCTCGACAGAAATCCTCAAACAAGATTCATGAGTTTGTACTATGAGTACATGACGCTGGAGGTTGGTCCTTCTTCATTAATCTCCAATCGTGATTGCTTTCAAGCCTTTTATAGTTCCTCTGTAAATTTTGATCTGACCATGATGCAAGAAATCCATGGAATACCAGATCACCATCGGTCGATGGTTGTTCCCTCAATTTTTGCAATCAAGTACCACCATGTAAGTAACGATAAAAGATTTTTCACAGATGGGTCAACCATAAATGCTTCCACTGGATTTGGTGTATTTAATCAATTTCATAGCGCCTCTTATAAACTGCAGAAACCATGCTCAGTATACGTTGCGGAACTCGCAGCTATATTGCCTCACTACCATCTGACCATTATTTTATTTTTACGGATAGTCTTAGCTCATTGGAGGCTATTCGTTCAATGAAGCCGATGAAGCACTCCTCGTATTTCCTGCCTGAAATACGATATAAACTGAGTGCTTTATCTAACTGCTCCTATACTATCACCTTAGCTTGGGTCCCATCTCATTGCTCAATTCCGGGTAATGAGAAAGCGGACTCATTGGCTAAGGTCATGGAAGGCGATATTTTTGAGCGACAAATCGCCTTCAACGAATTTTTCTCCATTGCTCGTCAGCAAGTCCTCATCAGTTGGCAACAAAAATGGAATGATGGTGAATTGGGAAGATGGTTACATTCTATTCTCCCACAGGTGTCGAACAAACCATGGTTCAAAGGGTTGGACATGAGCCGCGACTTTATACGCGTTATATCAAGGCTTATGTCCAATCACTGCTCGTTAGACTCGCATTTCTATCGAATTGGGCTCTCAGGCAGCAATTTATGCGCGTGTGGCAGTGGTTATCACGATATCGACCACGTGCTTTGGTCATGTACCTTACACCGTGTTGACAGATCTGAGTTATCCACATCCCTCAGGGCCCGAGGAAAACAACCCGCGATACCCGTTAGAGATGTCTTGGCGAGCCGAGACCTCGACTATTTGAATTTAATTTATGTGTTTTTAAAACGGATAGATCTGAGGATTTAGTAGTTAGTGTCATCTTGTGTTCTCCCAAGTTGTTAGCTACCCATCGGTGTACCCCCATGTTTGTCTTTTTCATCAGAGTGTCGCCTAGTTCGAGATCAAGAGCACATTGCTCTCCAAACCTTGTGTTCACAATCCCTACCCTGCCATCCATTTGTTACAATTTGTTACCCCTAACCTCGAGATAGCCGCGAGTAATCGGCCTCCGCTTTACTAACGTTAGTTTTAAGTAATTTTGTTATCTAAACAATGAATATCGGCTCCGCAAAGCTACAGCAAATGAGCCTGGAAAAATAAACGAATTATAAAAAAAAAAACATGTCTCAGTTTAATTTTTTAGCTATTTTTTTTTAAAAAGCTCATGAAAAATGCAAACTTTTGATACATTGAAAACCTTGGAAACTTGAAAATTGATAAAAAATCGTGGAGCAACTGCTTTTAGTCACATTTTTAAACATATTGTTAGTACGCTCAGTCGTTCACCAAATGATCAGGTGTGCCTCAGGGCAGTAACTTGGGTCCTCTGTTGTTTACTACATTCATGCTTACATTGAGCATTCATAAGTGCAACATCATATAACACCGCTGAACAGCCTGTTCAACGTGTTCATCAAGTCCGGAATTTGGGCGTTATCCTTGACTCAGCGCTTATTATCTCTACATTCATATTCAAAATAACCGATGAATTCCGTGCCCCACACTGCCTTCGATCGATCCTTGAATCTAATTCTGTAGTTTGGTGCCCGTAGCAGTCAACGTGGATTGTTAGGATCGAAGCAATGCAAAGAAGGTTCGTGATATATGCCCTTCGTAGCCTTCGGTGGCGAGATCCCCTTCAGCTACCACATTACGAAGGCTGTTGTATACTGATAAATATAAAACCCTGGAGAAAAGAAAAAGTAGAAGGGTCTGTGCCTTGGGGCACGTACGGAAGCTTGACGTAGGACTGCTAGTGGACGGAACAAATGTGAACATTAAGTTCTTTTAATTGATCAAGCATCAATTATCTTAACTCTTTCCGTTTTTTATTTGTAAGCGTATCAAATTTGTACTATTTATTTCGAAGAGAAAGTTGATGAAGAGAATCCAAGGGACTGTCAACTTGAGTATTTTCGATTCATCTACCCGACTTTAAAAGGAGTATTTTAGATTTTTTGTTATTTATGAATTTTTAAGTTTTGTGCATTTTGGTATTAAAGAGTATTCAATTAACCCCTCACATGATTTCCTTCCGAATTAAATGAATGGGGTGGGGCGGAAAGTATCGTTTGTGCAGAATATGTAAAAAAGGAAGGACTTCGAGAGATTGAACTCGTCAGAGCTAATTTTCTCACAAATTTGATTTTATTGGCTTTCTGGGGACTGAATATACACCCAAAGCGAATTATTCCCACTTCTCTCAAATTCTATATGGATTTTTAACACTTCCTACCAGCGTGTTCTGGAAAATGGTCGGACGATGATTAATCTCACCAATGCATTCGGGCACAATTCCACACCTTATATATAGACCAGGTTGAGCCTTGATAGCTAGCTGCTTGCGGGAACTGATGACCTTGACAAATGTCCAAATAATACTCTTAACAAATTTATGGTGTTCCTTAAAGGGACCGTTTTGTAGTGATGGTTGAGTAATGCTGAGCTGAGCACGACGAGCTACTGATTCCGATCCTAGCCTAGCGGTAGGACTTCTTCCTCCTTCTCTATGGTTGCTCATATGAGCTCTGCTGCCTGCTGCTTGCAGGCAGCCTTTCGTTGTTGTTGTTGTTGAAAGCACTCCTGCTGCTGCTGCTCGACTGGACACTACCACTTACGGTGATTGAATGAGCACCGTTCAGTGGGACCGCATCGAATTCGATTTTTAAGTCTGTGTTAGGGAATGCGCTGTTTTCAGACATTCGGTGATAATTTTGATCAACCATTGCAACAGTTGGACATTTGGTATTTTTCAATAGTGACCTATTGAAAATTAACTAAGTGTTCATTTTAGCAGATCGGTAGATAAATTTCCAATCGTTTGGCTTGTTTAGAATCTATCTGCTATTGGTCGAAACCTAACCTCTTTTCGTAATGCTGTGCATTTTGGTTTTTTGAAATTGCGTGGATTCTATAGATCCTGTGGAGATCTATTTAGCCCTGATGTATGTGTTGGTAGAGGAAAACACGTTAACTTTGTGGGAGACGATGTCTTAACACTCGAAAGCAATTTTGTGAAATATGAAGTAAAACAAATCCTAGCTAGTACTGCCTGATGATTTTGTTTGATCTTATTTATTTGTAAAGTCGCCGGGAAATACCCGCTGGCGATTTGTTTTTTATGATAACTCCTTACTTGAAAACAGGCGAAAACTCACAAGCAGGCTGCTTTTTCATGGTATACAGTGTGATAGTTCAATAATCAATAAATTATCTCAACATTTAGTGGCAAACCATTCATAAATTTTG